CTTGAAATAAAAAATAAAAAAACTGGTCTAAATTAAATACACAAAATTTATGAACAATTCTCAAAAATATTTATACAGTAGATGAAAAATTGTCAATACTTTAAAATGTTATAATTTTGTGAAAAAAAAATGTAGAACAGTTAACTTGATTTTATTTTAAAAAGTAAAGTCTTGAGTTTGTTTCGTTCAAAGATAAACTTGCCTTAATCAGTACGACAGGATGTGACGGAAATGATAAGGGAAGCCTAGAACCTCAAAATCGTAGAAATACATTTTGTTAGGTTTGATACCTCGTTTGGTACTGTTATGTATTTATAATTTTCTGTATCTAACAGTGTATCTAACAGTAGTCTAATCGTATTTATATAATACTTATAAAATTTATTAATTTAATATTTATATCATTATATAATTATATTATTGCAAAATAATAATGAAAATAATGCACACAATGTAAAAAATATGCCATACCTAATACATTAACACATTATCAGTTGCTGAAAAATTATTAAGCTTATAAACTATAATCATTATGACTATTGCTTTTCTCATATCCATATGTAAATGAGATCCTGGTAATTAATACAGAAAAAATTAAATCTGAAAATCCTAAGCTAGAAACATGATTAACATCTATTTTGTATCCACTTTATAATAAGCTAATATTCTTTGATATTGCATTTCAATTTGAATTTATTGCAATTTAGAATGATTCTAGTTTATAATTTAATTTAATAAATTATTGAAGTGCTATATTGCAAATCAACAATATTTGCTGAAAAAGAAATTAAAATTTAACGCAAAATATGAAATTTAATAAATAATAATGCAGTCTAATTAGCTGAAATATTGACAGAAATATTCGCAGGCGATTCTTTCATCAAAGTACATTCTTGGAAACACAGAATTAACGTTTAAAGCTATTGTTTTGATCCAGGTATCTACCTGTCGTAAAGTGTTATTTTGCATGTAAAATTTAATACATTTGTGAATTGGAATTATATTGAATATGAAAATCGAATAATAAAGTAATTCTAAAATACAAATATATAAAAATAAAATCAACAAAGTATATAAATAAAATCATTATAATATTTATCATTTACTTAAATAATTCCATTTTATTTATTCCTATAGGTATATGCCTGTATGTATATTTTATCTTTGCAAATCTATTGAATATACTGAGCCTTCATTAATAATAATAATGAATATACGTATATTTTCAAACATAAATAAGTACATGTACTAATCATCAACATTATGTTATCCATGTCAATAATATTAATTAGCAATATGTTAATATCATATATTCATGTTAATTATTACCGCATTATTATTAATATGTAAATTAATATTTTAAATATGTAAGAAAACCTAACTTGAACTAATAAATAAAATATAGATAAAAAAAATATTATTAATCATGAGTGTAATAAATACCGTAGTTACTATGCTCGTTAAAAATTCTAAAGAATACAACCAGTCACTGTGCCAATTCGAATTTTTCATTTTGCGACATGATTGAGTGACCAGAAAAACAAAAATGCATATGATTCTCGATTAGATGTTGAGAACGTTTTCATCGATTTGGTTATAATTCAGAAGTCATCGTGAAGCTGTCATCAAATAAGAATCATTGAATTCTATCGAAGAAATGAAAATAGAAAAAAATCTGTAACAAAGTATGGAATACTATAACTTGTTCTTATAGTGTTAACTTGAAATAATGAAAAATTTATCTCAATGAAATATAAAATTTTTATAATATTCAATTTAAGAATGAAAAGTTTAAACTCGTCAAATTAGATCTTATTTTTTAATTGATAATCACAAAAGAAAATTAAAGTTGAAATACAAAATACAAAGTTACATTTTTAAAGGACACAGGATCTTTTTTAAGGAAAAGGAAAAAAAAGAAGTAAAGAATAAAATATATAAAATATTATAATTTGTTTTGAAAAAATTATCAAATATCAACAAATATTCTACAATATAATTAATTTATAAATTTTCTTCAAAATTAATGTCAAATATATTTTATAATAATTAAACGTGGCGCGCATTTTCCGTTAGTTAAGTAAGTTGCATAGTACACAATGCGTAAAATTTGTTTTTTGTCCGTGATAGCGTCCCTTCCCGAAAAGAGCCTGTTTTTGTTAAAATAAATTAAATATTATATAATTTTTAAAAAGAGCTACCATATTTATCATTAATCACCAATACATCCTTTGAAATATCATGGTGATTCTTCGAGTTTCATGTCATCTCTAATACTTTTTCCTCAATTTACCAACAATCTGTAGAAAAAGAAAACAAAACTTTTAAACAAATATATAAAAAGAACAAATTACATAAAAATGAAACGATCAAAATCAATAATACGAGGCTTATAATATGAGTTACTAATAAACGTAACAACCAAAAATAAGATCAAAGAGAAAAAAATATGACAGTAATAAATTATAATGATATTCGATGAATTGTTGTGTAAAAACATATCAAATGAAGTTATCAGTAGGAACGATGGAAAATGACGATGATAATATTGCATCTATTAATGGCGATAAAAATTAAGAAATTATATAGTTAACAAATGTCTAAGCAAACGATACACACACACACACACACAC